CCACACCCAGCTAATTTTTGTATTTTTAGTAGAGATGGGGTTTCTCCATGTTGGTCAGGCTGGTCTCGAACTCCTGACCTCATGATCCGCCCACCTCGGCCTCCCAAAGTGTTGGGATTACAGGCGTGAGCCACCGCGCCTGGCTGAGAAACAGTATCTATCAAACGTTAACATCTGTGCTGGGGGTTGGGGACCCAGCAGGCACGGTAGAGCCGGTCATTGAGGGACTCAGGTGTGTGACTGCCACGGGAGGGGCACCTGGCCCAGCCTGGAGGTTCCAGGAAACTTCAGAAAGCAGCTGGTCCCAAATTCCACTAGGAGTTAACCAGGGCAGAGAGAGAACAGCTGTGCAAAGGCCCTGGGGCTGGATCAGGACTTGTAGGTTCCAGGAGCGGCAAGAGGGCTCTGCAGTTCTGGGGTGGCGCGGGAGCCGGGCCCAGGGACGCCCTGACACAGCTGCCACCTGCCCAGGGAGACGGGGGCACCCCCCTCATCTGCGACGGCCTGGGACACGGCGTGGCCTCCTTCTCCTTGGGGCCCTGTGGCCGAGGCCCCGATTTCTTCACCCAAGTGTCGGTTTTCCGAGACTGGATCGATGGTGTTCTCAACGGGGGACCAGTGCCAGCCTAGGGGGGGCCTGTGACCTCCCACAGAGCCCAGCCCTGCCCTCCGCGCCTCCCGCGCTCCGAACCCACCTCCCACGGCCCCGCCCCTGCCCCCGCTCCGGCCGGCGTGGCCCTGGCTGTAATAAAGAAGCCAGTCTCGCCTCTGCTTCTGCTTTCGGTTCATCAGGGAGGGCTGTGGGGAGGCGTGAGCGGCACCTTCACTGACCTCAGGGGCACCCACGCCAGGCACGCTGCCTGTGCAGATGTTCAGGGATCCCCTGGAAGCAGGGGCTGGTGTTATCTCCACCGGACAGTGGGGTGTTGGGGGAGGCCCAGGTTCCGAGAGGTTGGGTGGCTGCCCTGAGGTCACACAGCTTTGAACTCGAATCTGTGAGACTGTATTCCCTCTTCCCACGTCTCATCCTGCTGGAGAACATATCACACAGCTCCGTGGGCAACGCCAGAACACGCAGGAGAGACGGGCGCGGTGGCTCACGCCTGTTATCCCGGCACTTTGGGAGGCCGAGGTGGGCGGATCACTTGAGGTCAGGAGTTCAAGACCAGCCTGGCCAACCTGGTGAAACCCCGTCTCTACAAAAATACAAAAATTAGCCAGGCATGATGGCAGGTGCCTGTAGTCCCAGCTACTCAGGGGGCTGAGGCAGGAGAATCACTTGAACCCGGGAGGCGGAGCTTGCAGGGAACCGAGATGGCGCCACTACCCTCCAGCCTGGGCAACAGAGTGAGACTCTGTCTCAAAAAAAAAAAAAAGAAAACCCACAGGAGAGAACGGGAAACATTCGCCTCTTGGATCCAATACAAACCGAGTAAAACATGAATACGAAATAATAAATATAATTGTATATATAAGTGATACAGAGTAAAATATGAATCTGATGGCTGGGCGTGGAAAACGCAGGAGAGGCGGGCGCAGTGGCTCACGCCTGTTATCTCGGCACTTTGGGAGGCCAAGGTGGGAGCCCCGGAGTTTGAGACCAGCCTGGGCAACAGAGTGAAACCACATCTCTACAAAAATAATTTTAAAAATGCCGGGCACGGTGGCTCACACCTGTAATCCCAGCACTTTAGGAGGCCGAGGTGGCCGGATCACGAGGTCAGGAAATCGAGACCAGCCTGGCCAACATAGTGAAACCCTGTCTGTACTAAAAATACAAAAAATTGGCCGGGCGCGGTGGCTCAAGCCTGTAAACCCAGCACTTTGGGAGGCCGAGACGGGCGGATCACGAGGTCAAGATCAAGACCATCCTGGCTAACACGGTGAAACCCCGTCTCTACTAAAAAAAATACAAAAAGCTAGCCGGGCGAGGTGGCGGGCGCCTATAGTCCCAGTTACCCAGGAGGCTGAGGCAGGAGAATGGCGTAAACCCGGGAGGTGGAGCTTGCAGTGAGCTGAGATCCGGCCACTGCGCTCCAGCCTGGGCCACGACAGAGCAAGACTCCGTCTCAAAAAAAATAAAAAAAATAAAAATAAAAAAGATTAGTCGGACGTGGTGGCACGTGCCTGTAATCCCAGCTACTCGGGAGACTGAGGCAGGAGAATCGCTTGAACCCAGGAGGTGGAGGTTGCAATGAGCCAAGATTGAGCCACTGCACTCCGGCCTGGGGGATAGAGTGAGACTCTGTCTCATAAAATAAAATAAAATAAAATAAAATAAAATAAAATAAAATAAAATAAAACAAAATAAAACGAAGCATGCAATTCAATGGTCTTCGGTACACTCACAATGTTGTGTGGTCACGACCTCTGTTGAGTTCCAGAATATTCCATCACCCCCAAAGGAATCCGTGTCCCCCTCAGCCGTCACTCCCTGTCCCCTCCCCAGTCCGCGGCACCCAGGCGTCCTCTTCCTGTCTCTGTGGATGGGCCTGTCCTGGACGGTTCATAGCAATGGGATCACACACTGTGTGGTGTTTCGTGTCTGGCGTCTCTCACAGAGCGTGACATCCTCACGGCGGATCCGTGCTGTGGCCTGGGTCAGAGCCTGGCTCCTTTTCACGGCCGCGTCATGTTCCAGTGCGTGGAGGGCCACGCTGGGCTGATGGACGCCCCCGTGGATGGACGTCTGAGCCTCTCCACTTCCAGCAGCTGTGACTGTCAGTGCTGTGGACACTCGTGTGCAGGTTTGTGTTGGAAACTCCTGCTTTTCTTTCTTTTGTGGGTATAACAGGTCCTCCGTTTTTTGTTTTTTGTTTTTTTTTGAGACGGAGTCTGTCTCTGTTGCCCAGGCTGGAGCGCAGTGGTGCAATCTCAGCTCACTGCAACCTCCGCCTCCCAGGTTCACGCCACTCTCCTGCCTCAGCCTCCTGAGGAGCTGGGGCTACAGGCGCCACCACCACGCCTGCTAATGTTTTGTATTTTTAGTAGAGACGGGGTTTCACCGTGTTAGCCAGGATGGTCTCTATCTCCTGACCTCGTGATCCACCCGCCTTGGCCTCCCAAAGTGCTGGGATTACAGGCGTGAGCCACCGCGCCCGGCCAACAGGTCCTCTTTACAGAGGGGGAAGCTGAGGCCTAGAGAGGGGGGCCAGTGGCTCAGGAGGCCAGCTGGTGGGGGCCCTGCTTGAGCTTGAGAGGCGAAGCCACTGCCTGATCATTGTTCAGATGGGGAAACTGAGGCCCAAGGCAGGATTGAGGTTCAAGGGCTTCGGGTGTCCCCGGCTTGGGGCCACGTCTAGTCATGAAGGTCCCCCTGCTGGTGTGGGATTCTTTTCCTGCTACGGGCGGTTCCGCCCTCCTCCCCCCAGATCCTCTTGCTCCCCTGTCCTGGGCCCACGGGTGCTGGTCTCAGGTTCCCCGGCAGGGGTCAGCCCAGCTCGAGGGCCCTCAGTGCGGAGCTGTGCATGACTGTGGGCGGCCTCAGATTTCAGGGACATAGAACGGGGTCCCATCCGTGGACCCACCCCCAACCCAGCAGCCCTGTCCAGGCTCCGCCCACAGGCCCCCACCCTGCAGCCCTGTCCAGGCTCCGCCCTCAGCCCCCCAAACCTGCAGCCCTGTCCAGGCTCCGCCCACAGGCGCCCACCCTGCAGCCCTGTCCAGGCTCCACCCTCAGCCCCCAAACCCTGCAGCCCTGTCCAGGCTCCGCCCTCAGCCCCCCAACCCTGCAGCCCTGTCCAGGCTCCGCCCACAGGCCCCCAACCCTGCAGCCCTGTCCAGGCTCTGCCTGCAGCCCCCCAGCCTCACAGCCCTGTCCACGACCCGCTCACAGCCCCCACCCTGCAGCCCTGTCCAGGCCCGGCCGCATGCAGCCTCCCGGCAGACCCAGGTGTGCTCAGGCTAAACCCAGCGGTTCTGTTTCTTCTCACCACCCCGCCACCCCGCCCCACTCACTGGTGTCTTGGGAAGGTTTTTAAATTTGGGGAATTCTCAGTACAGATTGTGAAATGTCTGGGCTTGGCTTACAAATCCCGCGAGGGGCATCAGGGAACAGGTGGGTGGATGGGCCTGGGGGGTGTGGAAGGCGGCCGGGTGTCGGGTCCCCAAGGACATGGGAAGGTCAACAGTCAGCACAAAACACACAAAACACAACCGGGGCGAGGCTGAGCCTCACGGGCGAGTCAGCATCTTCCCATCACTCAGGGAGAGAAGGTTTTCCTTTTATAAAGAGGAGAGGAAAGGAGGCCGGGCCCAGCGGCTCACGCCTGTCATCCCAGCACTTTGGAGGCTGAGGCGGGCGGATCATTGGAGGCCAGGAGTTCGAGACCAGCCTGGTCAACATGGTGAAACGCTGTCTCTACTAAAAATACAAAAATTAGCCGGGCACATGCCTGTAATCCCAGCTACTTAGGAGCCTGAGGCAGGAGAATTGCTTGAACCCCGGAGGCAGAGGTTGTAGTGAGCCGAGGTCATGCCATTGCACTCCAGCCTGGGCAGCAAGAGTGAGACTGCATCTCAATAACAACAAAGAAAGAAAGAAAGAAAGAAAAAGAAAGGAGAGGAGAGAAAGAGAGAGAGAACAAGAGAGATGGAGAGACAGAGACAGAGACGCAGAGAGAGACGGAAAAAGAGGGACAGAACCAGAGAGACTGAGAGAGATAGATTAAAAAAAGAGAGACAGAGATGAAGAGACAGACACAGAGAGACACGAACACAGAGACAAAGAGACAGATATAGGGAGACAGAGACAGAGCGAGACAGAGAGACAGAGACAGAGAGGGAGACAGAAAGAGGGCGGGGAGAGAAACAGAGACACAGGCCTCAGCCCCCTACACCCTCCCTCCCCTGGGTCTCCCCTCAGCCCGAGCGGCCCCACCTGCGATCCCTGAAGCCGTTACCGGTTGCAACACCCACAGTTGGCACAGGAAGGGGCCCCCACTACCTCTGCGCCCAGGCCGACCCCTGCAGAGCCCCCAGCATGTTCCATGGAGCCCTCCCTGCTACCCGCTCCCAGCGCTCCTGTTGCCCTGGCCCGTGCCTTCCCCGCCCGTCTCTGTGCCTGGGCACGTGGGTCCCTCCAGGACGCATGGGGGAGCCTGGAGGACCCAGGGCCCGCAGGACCATGCTGGGACGCTCCGGTCAGGACCCGGCTGCATCAGCCTTGCGTGGAAACAGATCCTGAGGGGGAAGCACATGTACAGTGAGGACGGGGGCAGCTCCCTGGGCGGCTCTCGCGTGTGATAGATCCAGCAGTACGTGTGCACGCGTCCGTCTTTTCTTGTTTTGGTTGACAGCTTTACTGAGATGTCCTTTACACACAACAAACAATTCACCCACTTAACGATTTGGGGGTGACCAGATGGTGGGGGAGGATCGCTGGAGCCCAGGAGTTCCAGACCAGCCTGGGCAGCATAGCAAGACCCCTCTCTATTTTGTTTTGTTTTGTTTTGTTTGTTTGTTTTTTGAGATGGAGTTTTGCTCTTGTCACCCAGGCTGGAGTGCAAAGGTGCGATCTCAGCTCACCGCAACCTCTGCCTCCCGGGTTCAAGCGATTCTCGTGCCTCAGCCTCCCAAGTAGCTGGGACTACAGACGTGAGCCACCGAGCCCGGCGCAAGATCCCTCTCTCTGAGAAAAAAAAAAAAAGGCCGGGAGTGTCAGCGTGAGCTGACTCATGGGGCAAAGCAGCGGCACTTTTGTTGAATGAGAATAACCCCCCCCTTTTTTTTTTTTTTTTTTTTTTGAGATGGAGTCTCGCTCTGTCCCCCAGGCTGGAGTGCAGTGGTGTGATCTCAGCTCACTGCAAGCTCCACCTCCCGGATTCAGGCCATTCTCCTGCCTCAGCCTCCCGAGTAGCTGGGACTACAGGTGCCCACCACCACGCCCGGCTAATTTTTTGTATTTTTTTTTTGTAGAGATGGGGTTTAATCGTGTTAGCCAGGATGGTCTTGATCTCCCGACCTCGTGATCCGCCTGTCTCGGCCTCCCAAAGTGCTGAGATTACAGGTGTGAGCCACAGCGCCCGGCCGAGAATAACCCTTTCATTTTGAAACAGTGTCTCATTCTTTCTCCCAGGCTGGAGTGCGGTGGTGCAATCTCGACCCACTGCAACCTCTGCCTCCCAGGTTCAAGCAATTCTCCTGTCTCAGCCTCCCAAGTAGCTGGTATTACAGGCACCTGCCACCACACCTGGGTAATTTTTGTATTTTTAGTAGAGTCAGGGTTTCATCATGTTGCCCAGGGTGGTCTTGAACTCCTGACCTCGTGATCCATCTGCCTCAGCCTCGCAAAATGCTGGGGTTACAGGCGTGAGCCACCGCACTCGGCCAGAGCTCTAGTTCTTTAATAGGCATCAGGTCGGTCACAGTGGCTCAGGCCTGTGATCCCAGCATCTGGGGAGGCTGAGGCAGGAGAGTCACTGAAGGCTGGCAGTTCAAGACCAGCTGGGGCAACACAGCAAGACTCCATTTCTACAAAAAATTAAACAGCCAACCAAAAAAAGAAAGAAAAACTTTAACTGGACACGGTGGAGCGTACCTGTGGTCCCAGCTACTTGGGGGCTGAGGCAGGAGAATTGCTTGAGCCCAGAAGGTCGAGGCTGCAGTGAGCCATGATTGCACCACTGCACTGCAGCCTGGGTGACACAGCCAGACCCTGTCTCAAAAAATATATATGTATATTATAAAATATATATTATATAATATAAATAATATACATGTTACATATTTTATGTATACATATATTATATGTTATATACATATGTTATAATGTCTACATTAATATTATATTCAGGTGCACTGGCTCACACCTGTGTTCCCAGCACTTTGACAGGATTACAGGCGGGTCACCTGAGGTCAGGAGTTCGAGACCAGCCTGGCCAATGTAGTGAAACCCCGTCTTTACTAAAAATACAAAAAGAAAAAAAAAAAAATGGCCGGGTGTGGTGGCGGGCGCCTGTAATCCCAGCTACTCAGGAGGCTGAGGCAGGAGAATTGTTTGAACCTGGGAGGTGGAGGTTGCAGTGAGCCGAGATGGCACCATGGCACTCCAGTCTGGGCGACAGAGTGAGACTCTGTCTCAGAAAACAAAAAAAAAAGGCGGGGGAAAGAGTAACTGGACAGTGCAGGAACTGGCAGACACCCTGACCACGTGGTCAAGGTTATTATCATCAGCACCAGACAGGCCGAAGCCGTGGGCTCCTATGTGGGGGCCCGAGACAGACACACGCCGCGCCCGGGGCTCCCTCCATCAAGCCCTGAGGCAACCGGGAACCATCACCACGGAGGGACGCTCCGCAGAGCGACCACCAGCTCCCCTCAACACCCCGTGGGCTGCAGGAGGGCAGAGGGACTGCGCCCATCAGAGGAGACCCTGGCAGCTGAAGATGGGCGACGTGGGCACCCAGGACCCGGCAAAGGGCGGCCGGCGACACTCAGGGGCCCAGGGCAGAGGGGACCGTTTCCAATCAATGTTCACGCCCTAGGTTCGATCACGGCCTCAGAGTTGAGCAACAGGACAGAATTTAGGGAAGCTGGGGGAGGGAGTCTAGGGGGCGGAAGGGAGTTTGGACCCTTTGGACTTCTGTAAGTGTGAAATCGTTTCCAAACGAAACGTTAAAAAGCTTTTTTTTTTTTTTTGGTCCCCAAGTTCATTCAATGCTTCTCTCTATTTCACTGTAGGTTTAAACTGTTCAGTTATAAATAAATAATATTATCCTCTGTCCTGGGCTTTCCCCCGTTCCCGGCACCGCAGACATGGGGGCTCTATTGTTCTCTGGGGTGGGGCCATTCTGGCCATCGCAGGCCCTGCCAGGAGCTCCCTCCAAGTCGTGACAACCACAGATGTCTCCATACCTCACCCAGGGACCCCTGGGGGCAGAATCACCCCAGGCTTAGTGGATTCCATGGACGCCCTAGAGACTCTGCGTCCCATGATCCTCTGCCCTGCCGAGGTCCCAGGAGGCTGCACACATTGAAATCCGCGCCCTGAGTGGGGAGGGAGAGAGGAGGTGAATCCCAGGAGCTGGGGTCCCCCTGGTTTACGCTGTACGCCCCGTCAGGAGTTTATTCTGGTGTCTGGTGTGACCGGGGGCAGACTCCGTTTTTTATTTTTATTTTTATTTATTTATGTTTTAAGATGGAGTCTTGCTCTCTCACCCAGTCTGGAGTGCAATGGCTCGATCTCGGCTCACTGCAACCTTCGCCTCCCAGGTTCAAGCGATTCTCCTGCCTCAGCCTCCAGAGTAACTGGGACTACAGGCGCCTGCCACCACGCTCGGCTAATTTTTGTATTTTTAGTAGAGACGGGGTTTCGCCATGTTGGTCAGGCTGGTCTTGAACTCCTGACCACAGGTGATCCACCCACCTCAGCCTCCCAAAGTGCTGGGATTACAGGCGTGAGCCACCGCGCCTGGCCATTTTTTTCCCGCAAATAATGAACACAGGGTTTCTCCCCTGGGCACTGTGGACATTGGGGCCGGATCCTTCTCTGGGGCGCTGCGGACACTGGGTCCGGATCCTTCTCTGGGGCGCTGCGGACACTGGGTCCGGATCCTTCTCTGGGGCGCTGTGGACATCGGGGCCAGATCCTTCTCTGGGGTGGGCTCGTCCTGGGCACTGCAGCGTGCTCGGCATCATCCTTGGCCTCCACCCACTCCATGCCCGGAGCTCCCCCTCGTCATGACAGCCACAGGTGTCCCCAGACCTCGCCCAGGGTCCCCTTGGGGCAGAATCACCCCTTGATTGAGAATCGTGGCCTTAAAGGGGGAACAAAAGCCCCAGACAAAAGCTGGCAGGAGGATGTTCGCTGGGGCTTCAGGCACTGAGGGCACTCGTGGGGCCCCGCCCTCCCCAGCTCCGCATCCTGTCCCCTGCGCCTGTCGGTTTCCAGCTCACCCACCCACGGGACACGGCTGTCACGGCCCGCTTTGTGGGGGCCACAGGGACCTCGTCAGGGAGGCATCTCCTTGTGGGTGGCACGTGGGTGTGTGTTGCGCTGAGGGCTGTGGCCATGTTGCCCACCTGGCCAGGGACCCCCGACTTGGGTGGGTGAGAGTCAGCCTCCCCGCCCCCACGAAGTTCAGGACCTTGAGTCCAAAGCCCCCGCATCCTCCCTGGAGACCGTTCTGACTCCCAGGCTCCCAAGGCAAAAGGAGGAAGTGGGGACCCAGCCTGGGCGTTGGGCAACCCAACGGCCTCTGCCATTGGGCTATAAGAGGAGCTTGACCGCGGGTGCACCCTGGACCCCACCATGGCTCCCAGCCACCGGCCCCCCAGCCCTGCCCTGGCGTCCGTGCTGCTGGCCTTGCTGCTGAGTGGTGAGTGAGCCACGTGCCCGCCCATCCAGCCTCCGTGGCCCGGTGGATTCTGGGGAAATATCCACCACGAGGTCCATCCAAAGCCCTCCTGGCACAGCTGGGGAAACTGAGGCAGGGTCAGGGGAGACTCCACTCACTGCTCGGGACCAACGCTTGCAGGGGCGGGGAGGACAAGGGCAAGGGGGACCCCCGGCCATTTGACTCAGTTGCCCATCTGTACAATGGTCTAAAGCCAGTCCTTTCCTCCTGGGGAGCTGTTTTGAGAATTACCTATAACAAGGGAATTCCTGGACAGCACTCGGCCTTCAGCAAACGCTCAGTGAATATGCATGAATGAATGAGTGAGTGAGTGAGTGAGTGAAAGGGTCAAGGAGTTAGTGATGCCGGAATCAGGGGAAAAAGAGAGCATGGGGCCCCTCAGGTCCCTATCCTGAGGGCAATTTTCTTTCTTCCTTCCTTCCTTCCTTCCTTCCTTCCTTCCTTCCTTCCTTCCTTTCTTTCTTTCTTTTTTTTTTTTGAGACAGACTCTCACTCTGTCGCCCAGGCTGGAGGGCAGTGGCGCCATCTCAGCTCACTGCAACCTCCACCTCCCGGGTTCACGCCATTCTCCTGCCTCAGCCTCCTGAGTAGCTGGGACTACAGGTGCCCGCCACTGCGCCCGGCTAATTTTTGTATTTTTAGTAGAGAAGGGGTTTCACTATGTTGACCAGGATGGTCTCGATCTCCTGACCTCGTGATCCACCTGCCTTAGCCTCCCAAAGTGCTGGGATTACAGGCATGAGCCACCGCGCCCAGCCTTTTTTCTGTTTTTTGAGACGGAATCTCACTCTGTCGCCCAGGCTGGAGTGCAGTGATGCAATCTCAGCTCACTGCAGCCTCAGCCTCCTGGGCGCAAGTGATTCTCCTGCCTTTGCCTCTTGAGTAGCTGGAATTACAGGCACACACCACCACACCTGGATAGTTTTTGTATTTTTAGTAGTAGTATTTTTAGTTTCACCACGTTGCTCAGGCTGGTCTCGAACTCCTGACCTGAGGGGGGGGATTTTTCAATGCCTCAGTTTGTCCATCTGCAAAATGGGTCTCCTTGTCGGCTTTTTTTTTTTTTCTGTTTCTTTTTCTTTGGTTGTTGTTCTCTTTTGTTTTTTGAGACAGAGTCTCACTCAGGCATGAGCCACCGTGCCCAGCCTTTTTTTTTTGAAACAGAGTCTCACTCTGTTGTCCAGGCTGGAGTGCGGTGGTGCGATCTCGGCTCACTGCAACCTCTGCCTCCTGGGTTCAAGCGATTCTCCTGCCCCAGCCTCCCAGGCAGCTGAGATTACAGGTGTGAACCACCACGCCTAACTTTCTTTTTCCTTGAGACGGAGTGTCACTCTGTGGCCCAGGCTGGAGGGCAGTGGTGTGATCTCGGCTCACTGCAAGCTCTGCCTCCCGGGTTCAGGCCATTCTCCTGCCTCAGCCTCCCAAGTAGCTGGGACTACAGGCGCCCGCCACCTCACCTGGCTAATTTTTTGTATTTTTAGTAGAGATGGGTTTTCACCGTGTTAGCCAGGATGGTCTCGATCTCCTGACCTTGTGATCCACCTGCCTCGGCCTCCCCAAAGTGCTGGGATGACAGGCGTGAGCCACCGGCCTGGTCTGCGTCTTGAAAGTTTCCTGACCCTCAGGACTGAAAACAGCCACCTGTTTTGGTTTTTTTTTTTTGCGCCTTTGCAATAACCCCCGGCCCGGGCGCTGGGTCCTCCCCACCAGCCGGCAGGCGCTGAGGGGGTTGCAGACGGGGAGACCTCAGGGACTGCTCTGCCATCCCCCCTTCCCCTGCAGCCTGGGGGCTCCCTGACGCCTGGACTCCCCCGGCAGGTGCTGCCCGGGCTGCAGAGATCGTGGGCGGACGCGAGGCGCAGCCACACTCCAGGCCCTACATGGCCTCGCTGCAGATGCGGAGGGACCTGGGCAGCCACTTCTGCGGGGGCACCTTGGTCCACCCCAGCTTCGTGCTGACGGCCGCGCACTGCCTGCAGGACATGTGAGGGGCCCCTCCCCAGCGCCCTCCGTCCGCCCCGGCC